TGCAATCCTGATTTCATAGGGCACATGGGTCCCAACCCTCAGTTTGGAGAGCCCTGTGTGTGACACACTGAGCGTGTGCATCCCCTCCAAGGCCCGGGACCCTGGGCTGCAGCCATACAGACACAATTGATCAGCACTGTGGCAGGTGCCAGTGCGATGGGCTCTGTGCTGGGGGCTGCAGCTGGGGAGGAGGCCCACTGGATGTGAGTCGGGCATCCAGCGTGCCCACGCCTATAGTGTGTGCAGAGCAACAGCAGCACAGGAAACAGGCAGGAAAGGTGCCCCAGGGGTCCTCCTGACCAGCCCTTTGTCTTCGATCTGGTAAGACTGCCCATCAGCTCATGGATTGATGTAGCACTGCTCTGCGTGGGGCCTGGGGACATGGGAGGAACAGGTCAGTCCCTGCCTCTGTGGGGCTCTCATGTCGTATGGCTGCCAGGTTCAGGAGACATGCAGAAAGAGGTCTGGTCCACACCTGGTGGCCAGGGGTGTCCAGGACAAAGGAAGGGTGAATAACGGCACCAGGAAAACACCCTGAGGGTCTGATGTTCACTGGGAGGACGTGGAGGGAGGGAGGAAGGAGACATTCCCAGAAACACAGAGGGCTGGAGGAACACCAGCTGTGCAGGGAAGTGGGAGTGTGAGGGGAGCAGGCAGCAGGGCTGAGGAGGCTGGACGGAGGAGCTCCAAGTGACTGGGTTTCTGCTCCTTGTCCTGCCAGTGACAAGCAAAGCACAGTCCGCCTCATCAGCCCTGATGTATTTCTTCTGAACTTTCTCATGGTCCAAGGAACTTCCCTTCTGCCTCTATAAATATTATACAGAGGGACCTTCACTCCAGACCCTCAGTGCTGAATACAGCGGTGGCTTGCCCTTAGGGTTTGAGGGGGGAACTAAGGCACAGAGCAGGCAGCCTGTGACTTCATCCTCAGGTGTAACCTGGATCCATGGATCTATCCCCCACCTGGACAGGTGCAGCAGCCCTGTAGCTGGCCTGGCCACCACCACCCTCCCCTCTGCAGCTCCCACTCCACACAGCTGCCAAGTGGCCCTTCCCAGACTGCATCTGGGTCTCCCCCAACCCCCCGCCCCCCACAGACACACACTCACATATTACACCCTTGACACCTCCGACACACTGAAAGCCGCCCTCCTGTGTCAGCCAGAGCCCCCCACGGGCTTGCCCTGCCCTTCCCTTCTGACTCTCTGCCCCTCAGACACCCCAAACTGTTACCCACCTTGCTCTTCATCCGGCTGAGCCCCCATCCCACCCTCCAGCAGCTTTCACAGCTAAGAAAGTGCCTTCCCAAGGTGCTGGGATTACAGGCGTCAGTCACGGCACCAGCATAACTTGTGCTTTTTTTGAAGTGTCATGCATATATAGAAAACTGCACAAATCTCCACCAGTAGTGAGTTTTTGAGAAGTGGGTTCACCTGTTTCTTTTTTTTTTTTTCCTGAGATTGAGTCTTGCTCTGTCACCTGGGCTGGAGTGCATTGGCACAATCTCGGCTCACTGCAGCCTCAACCTCCTGGATTCAAACAATTCTTCCTCAACCACCTGAGTAGCCCACCATGCCCAGTTAATTTTTGTATTTTCATTAGAGATGGAGTTTCACCATGTTGGCCAGGATGGTCTTGATCTTCCGACCTCATGATCCACATGCCTTAGCTTCCCAAAGTGCTGGGATTACAAGCGTGAACCACCTCACCCAGCCACCTTTTTCTTTTTTTGAGACGGAGTCTTGCTCTGTTGCCCAGGCTGGAGTGCAGTGGCATGATCTCTGCTCACAGCAACCTTCACCTCCCGGCGATTTTCCTGTCTCAGCCTTCCAAATAGCTGGGACTATAGGTACGCACCACTACGCCTGGCACATTTTTGTATTTTTGGTAGAGACAGGGTTTCACCATGTCAGCCAGGCTGGTCTCAAACTGACCTCAAGTGACCTGGCTGCCTCAGCCTCCCAAAGTGCTGGGATTACAGGCATGAGCCACTGCATCCAGCGGGTCCACCTGTTTAACCAACTTGTAGATCAAGATATAGAAGTGGACCGTGGACCCGGCCCTCCATCCTGACTTCCAGCACAGTTGATGACTTTGGCCTGTTCCCGGTGCAGGATCTCAGAGGCTGCACCCTCGTCTGGCGTCTTTCCAGCGTCATATGTGCCACAGCAGTGGCCCCTCCTCCAGCTGCTGGGTATTGCCCTGCAGAGGTACGCGCTGCAGCTTACCTGCTCTGCTGCAGACATACCCACAGAAAAATTAGCCAGGCATGGTAGGAGGAGCAGACTGCAATGCCTGGGGGCCACCGCCCATGCATCCCCAGGGTCCCAGCACAGAGTAGGTCTTCGAGAAGTATCTGCTGAAGGACTGAGCAAGAACCCAACTGAGCACAGCCAGCAAATGCTCAGAACGGGATGTCAGCAGCACCGCTGTATCCAACATGGGTTTCCACAATAACCCGACATTGGAACACTTTATTCTTTCATAGCAAACAGGAGGTGAGAAGCCGGCTGGATTCCTTGAGGTATGGAACGTCACACACTCCTCCTTTCTTGAGTAGAAAGCACAAGGCATAAAATGTGTATAATGTTGTTTTTTTTTTTTTTTTTTTTTTTTTTTTTTTTTTTTTTTTTTTTTTTTTTTTTTTTTTTTTTTTTTTTTTTTTTTTTTTTTGACAGAGTCTAGCTTGGTTGCCCAGGCTGGAGTGCAGTGGCATGATCATAGCTCACTGCAGCCTCTAACTCCTGGGCTCAAGCGTTCCTCCCATCTCTGCCTCCTGAGTAGCTGGGACTATAGGCAAGTGCCACCACGCCCAGCTAGTGTAGAAACAGGGTTTTGCCATGTTGCCCAGGCTAGTCTCAAACTCCTGGGCTCAATCGATCCTCCCACCTTGGCATTCCAAAGTGCTGGGATTACAGGCATGAGCCACCTTGCACCCCACCTGTTTGCACTTTTATTTTTATTTTTATTTTTTTTTAAAGATGGGGTTTCACCATGATGGCCAGGCTGGTCTTGAACTCCTGACCTCAGGTGATCCACCCATCTCGGCCTCCCAAAGTGCTAGGATTACAGGCATGAGCCACTGCACCCGGCTGCATTTTTATTTTTTAACCTTAAGCGATTAAGGGTTAATGTTTGCATTTTTTAAGGGATGTACAGAGGAGAAAGAGCCAAAGGAAAAACACTGATATGGTGGCATTCCTGGGTGATGAGTTTATGGTGTTTTGTTTCCTGGTCGTCTACAACATATATGTAATTTTTAAAGTATTTTTAAGTTAGCAATAGCATTAGATTACTTCAGGGAGGCCTTCTGGCTCTGTGTGTGGTGAAGCAGAGGGAAAGGCTTGTTCCCAGCCACAGCAGTACTTGGGCACTCCGTGGTAAGGTCAGCCCCTTCATCTCCTTCAGGAACAGCTGTGGGGAGCAGGTCCCGAGAATGTGAAGGAAGAGGCTGCAGCAGGAGGCCCAGGGCATGTGTCCTGCGTGGTCAGCCTGGGGACCAGAGTTAAAACCAGAGCCCCTCCTTTAAGAAAGGGATCATAGAAGGCTGTGGTTTCATCCTGTGTTCTCAGAAAAGTGGCACCAGGCTAGAAAGACATTTCTTTCAGCAGGCAGGCCCAGCCTATAGGACCCAGGTTCCCGGAGCAAACGTCCCAGGGCTCCGGCAGCCATAACTACAGCTGCATAGGCTCTGATGCTCAGCCACGGAAAAGTGAGCAACCAGGAATGAAGGAAGTGGTATCAGTCCCAACCCTGCTGCCCTCGGGTCTCAAGACCATGGACAAGTGGCTGGACTCCACTGGGCTGTCACTGGTACACAGAGGACGCTGGACTAGAACTGTGATCCTCCCACCACTGGCTCCACACCATCTTCGGGCCCCTACCCAGAGCCTCTCCACCAAACTCAGTGTCTTCAAAGTTCAAGTTGATTGTGAAGCTCAGGCAGGTCGGGAGCAGCTAATGCATTCTGGGTGACATCTTCTTGGGTTTCCCGTCCACTCCAGTGGCTCCCTGGGCTGTGCAGATGCCCAGCTCCTCCTCCCCTGCCATCACATGGGCATGGTGGCCTGCCTGACACCCTCCCTCCTCCCTCCCCCGTCCACCTCTGCCCACAGGGAGCTGCAGGAGGAGAGCGGTCTGACAGTGGATGCGCTGCACAAGGTGGGCCAGATCGTGTTTGAGTTCGTGGGCGAGCCTGAGCTCATGGATGTGCATGTCTTTTGCACAGACAGCGTCCAGGGAACCCCTGTGGAGAGCGACGGTGAGCCTCACGGGGCCTGCTCCCCACTCCCCACCATGCATGTTCCATCTCCTGGCTGGGAGAAAGGCCATCAGCCCAAACCAGCTCTGAGTGCCAGGAACCGGGCAGCCTGCATCCCCTTCACCCCACAATGCCAGCATAGGGCCCTGAGCCATGGTCACTACACCCATTTCCTACCCCAAAATGAGAAACATGGTCGGAGGATTAAATACAAACGATCATCAGGTTCCTCATGATCACTCAGGGTACTCCTCAGAGAGCCAGTTTAAGTTTGGGCTGGCCAGATGCAGTGGCTCACAGCTGTAATCCCAGCACTGTGGGAGGCTGAGGCAGGAGGATCGCCTGACCCAGGAGTTCAAGACAAGCCTGGGCAACATAGCGAGACCCCGTCTCTACAAAAATAATAAGCATTAAGTTTGGGTTGCATGTGAGTGCCTCCTCTTCTCCCCTTGGTACAGAAATGCGCCCACACTGGTTCCAGCTGGACCAGATCCCCTTCAAGGACATGTGGCCAGACGACAGCTACTGGTTTCCACTCCTGCTTCAGAAGAAGAAATTCCATGGGTACTTCAAGTTCCAGGGTCAAGACACCATCCTGGACTACACGCTCCGAGAGGTGGACACAGTCTAGCGGGAGCCCGGGGAGCCCCTGGGCAGGAGACTTGGCTGCTGAACAGCTGCAAACTGTTCACCTGGGCGCAGCAAGTGGATCAGAGTTGGGTTTTGTCTTTAGTGTGATTGGACGGAAAGGAAAATAAAGGTCTTCAACCTTTTTTTTTTTTTTTTTTTTTTTTTTGCGATGGGAGTCTTGTTCTATTGCCTCTGTTGCCCAGGCTGGAATGCAGTGATGCGATCTCGGCTCACTTCAACCTCCGCCTCCCAGGTTCAAGTGATCCTCCCATCCATCTCGGCTTCTCAAGTAGGTGGGATTACAGGCGCACACTGCCACGCCCGACTAGTACTTGTATTTTTAGTAGATACGGGGTTTCACCATGTCGACCTGGCTGGTCTTGAACTCCTGACCTCACGTGATCCGCCTGCCTCAGCCTCCCAAAGTGCTGGGATTACAGGCATGACCCACCACGGGCGGCCGGTCTCTTTTTAAACTTCCTTCTCCAGACACCAGCACAGCCTCCCGGGTCCTGTCCACAGGAAGCTGCCAGATGTGCTGGGCTTTGACCCGTGCTGCTGCACAGAGGTGGGAGAGGACAGAGACTGTCCCGGAGGTGGGCAGCTGGCGGAGGGCAGGACACACATGCTCAGTGCCACGAGCTGGAGGTGTGTCCTCTCAAAACCCCCCTGCACAGTGTGGGAAACTGAGGCTAAAGCCCAGGCTGAATGCCTCATAGGTTCGTCCCCTTCCTCTGCCCAACTTTCATACACACGTTTAATAAAAGTTGTTCGCACACAGTTATCCATAAACTATCCACAGTGTAGGTTGTGTGTAAACAGTTCCAGTTTATTGGGTGTATTGGGTATTGATCCCGGCAGCCTCCTAAAGTGCTCTGGACATGAACTGACCCCCAAAGCAAGAGCAAAGGCCTCAGGTGCACAGAGCCACCCTGACATCCCTCAGCTCGGAGTCCCTGTGCCCGTCAGAGCCCTATACCCGTCTCCCCTGTCTGTGCTGCCTCTATGGCAGACAGAGGGCAGCTCTCTGCATGGTGACCCCGAGTCCACAGGACAGGAGGATCCAGTGAGAATGTTCCCTTTCACTGTGATCTGCAGCCCCCCTGGCCCCGCCAGCTGCCTGTCCTCCCAGGGCACGCGGCATCTGGCATCTCCACCCACATCACGCGCAGCTGTCCCTGTCAGCTGGGCAAGGCTACAATGCCCAGCACAGGCTTAGGCTTGGGCTTGGGCCATGGGCAGCAGGAGGGCTGGAGAGACGTGGGGAACCCCACTCTCCCAGCATGGGGCCTCCACCTGCAGTAGGAAGCAGCCTCTCATCCCCCAGGTCAGCCCCTGGACCTGGGTACCCGCCAAGGCAGCACAGGGCCAGGGCCAGGGCCAAGAAGTAAGAAGGAAGGTGGCCTCTGCCATCCCCTGCCTTGCAGGCCTCTACTGCCCTTGAGAAGGCACTGGGTGGCAGGAGGGAGGGAGGGAGGGCCAGTGTCCAAAGCCAGTGTCCACCCCTCCACAGAGCCAACGCCAGGGCATGCAGGAAGCGGCCACAGTCACACGGAGACAGGCTGCCCTCTTCACCCCTACCTCCCCTCACTCCTGCTCTCTTGCTCCCCCTCACCCATTCCCCTGCTCCGTCCTCACCCTTGCCCTCCTCCTCCCTCCTTACCCCTACCCTCCTGCTCCCTCCTCACCCCTGCTCTCCTGCTTCCCCTCACCCATTCTCCTGGTCCCCCTCACCCCTGCCCTCCTGTCTCCCACTCACCCCCGCCCTCCTGCTCCCCCCTCACCCCTGCTCTCCTGTTCCCTCCTCACCCCTGCCTTTCTGCTTCATCCTCACCCCTGCCCTCCTCCTTTCTACCTCCATCCTCAGCCTCTGGACACAAGGACCCCAAGACCCTGGTCCTGAAATTTCCACCACAGGGAGATGCTGCCAGGCATGTGGCCTCCTATCATACTCACTGACCCGAGTCCCTGCCAGGAACGCTCCTTCAGAAATGCTCATTTTGAGTCTTGCTCTCTCCTTGGAGGGCTGTATTGGGAGCGCATGCCTTCCCTACCCTGGAGACATGAGGCCCCAGCGCCTGATGCCCACCATGACTCTGCCCACAGCCTCTGTGGTCCTGCAGCTGGACAGGCCCCAGGCAGGTGCAAGCAGACGGCGAGGCCTTGCAGCCTTCTGCCCACACAGGGTCATGCTGCATGGCTTAGCTGTCACAGCACCACTCATGGAAACTGAGAATCTGACTCTGCAGAGGGGGTCAGATTCGCAGCACAACCCAAGACTTGGGTGGGCTAGGGACTCACAGGATAGCCCACCCATCCGGCTCCAAAGGGAACGCTGCCCTCTGCTCCTCTGGCCAGAAGGGAGCAGCCCACCCCGCAGCAGAAAGGCACGGGCAGAACCCACAGAGCAGGGCAGGGTCTGAGTACTGCAGCCACTCCCTCTGGCTGGCTCACAGTGAATGATGGATCACCTGCTTGTGGGGCACAAACAGGAGTCTCCTTCTCCATCCTAGGGCCATGAGATCCCCGTGGGTGCAGGAAGAAGGGAAGCAAACTCTGAGTGGAGGGAATGCCTGGGGGCCAAAGAGCATCCAGAGAACGGAGGGACCTCGGAAACCCTGGGACCCAGGATCCTCTTCCAGCACCTCTCCCCACAGGGAGAGCCTCAGGCTCTGGAGAAGCGCAGGGGTCCGGGAGGCCCCCCAAGCTCCATGTGCCTTCCGCAAAAAGGGTTTGGGGCAGGAGCAGACCCAGGCCTGAGGCAGACATTCCAGCCCCACAGAACTCAGGAGAATGGCTTCTTAATCCAGAGAAAGGAAGGGTCCCCTCTGCGCGGGTGGCTGGGCCGGCAAGTGCATGGTGGGAGGCTGAGGGGGGACTCTAATTGCCTCAGAGAAGGAAATCCGTCTAAAAGGGGGCTATCCCTCCTCTAAAGCCCCAGCTGGAATGGAACACATCCCCCATTCCCCGACCTGTCCTCTGCCGGCCCATCCAGCCTCAGTGTCACACAGTGAAGACCCCGACACTGGCCACCAGAAATGAAGGGAGTCCAGGGGACAGGAACAGAGCCACTGTAGCACCCACTCTCAGAGCCCCAGCTCTCTGTCATGCCTTTGTCTTCCAGGCCTGAGACCACAGGCACACACAGCGTCATGGTGTGGGCACAGGGCACACACGGGGTCATGGTGTGAGCAGGAGGACATGGGACCACTGGATCCTGGAGGCCACTCTCAGACCAGGGCTCCTGGTGTTCACTGCAGCGAGTCCCCTAGAAAATTCACAGTGCACCCCTAATGCCCGACGGCCAGCCCTCCCAGCCTTGCCACCACAAAGAGCCATGACAGCGTCCATACCATCGGCTCATTGGCTGTACCCTTGCTGTCCATGGCCAGTCCCATGCCTGGCTGCAGGGCGGCCCTGCCCTCCCTCTCTCCTCCGCTGACCAGCACCATGAGGCTGCCCCTCCTGACTGTTCCAGCATCTGGAGGCCCCGCCCCCATGCTCCCCCAGTCACAATCTCTGTGAGATGAGAGATCCCTGCCTTCCCCCGTGGCTCTGGGTGTCAGGAGGAACCCCACCACCCCTCTCCACCAGGCTAGCAGGCCATGGGGTGGAGGACAGCATGGCACAGCTGCCCTGTGGTCCACGGGTGCCCTCCCGGCCCGCAGGCTGAGTGCATCTGCTCCGGCTGCAGCACTGGCGGGAAGGGGAGCTGCCGTCCAAAGGGAATTACACGGGACACACCGTTTGGAAAGAGGTTTTAGTGTGGCCGCAGGGAGCACCGCCTTAGCCTCACGCTAGTGAGGATACAGGCCGTCCTCTGGCGGGGATTGTGGCGGGGAACGTGGTGGGGTCAGGACGCTGTGTGGTCCCGCAAAAAGGCAGCTGAGCTTGGGTCTCAGATCGTTCCACACCTTGCTCATCTGAAAGGGAACACAAAAAGAACAAGATCAGCAGGCGGGGCCCGGACTCCCCACCACGCTCTAATCACAACTCCTTCCCCTCCCTCCTTCCCCTGCCAGTGACAGGGACAGAGGGGCACGCGGGTGCGTCAGCTCCTCAAACCTCAGACAGAGCTAGTGCTGCCCATCCTGCACAGAGAAAGTCCAAATGAGGAGTGGACCAGTGGCCTCATGTGACCTGTGGTCACAGATGCCCACGCCTCGGACCCTGCACCCAGGACCAAGGGCCGCAAAGCTGCCTGCTGTGGAATCATGAGAAGCATTACTGTCGGGTCACTGCCAGTACGTGCTCTAGCTACCGTGTAGGCACTGGCTTCATGGAAGCTTTGGCAGGTCAAACACCAAGGCCAGCCTGGGCCACAGAGGGACACCCAGTCTCCACAAAAAATCAGAAATCTTGGCCAGGTGTGGTGGCGCATGCCTGTGGTCCCAACTACTCGGGAGGCTGAGGTTGCAGTGAGCTGCAATTGCACCACTACACTCCAGGCTGGGCGACAGAGCAAGACTCCATCTCAAAACAAAAAAGCAAACCAAAAACACAAAGACCACATCCACCAAATCAATAACACACAAACCAGAATGCAAATGGTGGCCCCACTCACCAACACTTTTGGAACCAGGGCAATGAACGGATGCTGTGGACATGAGGAGGGGGGCGTGGCAACAAGGCAGGGGTCAGGACAAGACCTGCCGTGCAGGGGATTAGGTGGCCAGAGACGGGCAGCGCGTAGCCCTGGGGTCTTGCAGGGGAGGCTGGGTCACTGGAGCACAGCACACTCATCTCAGCATCACAGGACTAGGAATTCCTCATCACCACAATAATGGAACTGGTAGGACTGGGGTGATGACATCATGCCCCAGGCAGGACAGGGCCCCCACCTGTTGGTCACGTTCCTTCACTGAGGACACGCCCAGCCACTCAGATGTCCAAGCCCAACCTGGTCCCCTGAGACCCCTGCCACCTCGAAGTGATGCTCCTAAGGGCAGCTGTCTCCGCCTCTCCAGCCCCACCACTGCCACTTCCGGCCTGCCATTCCCAAATGGCCAGACGGCACCCAAGGCACCAAGCACCTCCCAGGGAGAGCGTGAAACCTTATGACCATCCCAGACACTCAGCACCATTCAACACGTGCCACAGACCACGGCTTCAAAGCTGCTTGCAGCTACTTAATAAACTCAATCTCAACCAGGCGCAGTGGCTCACGCCTGTAATCCCAGAACTTTGGGGGGCCTGTCTCAGGACTGCGAGAGCATTTCTTCTCAAAGGCTGAAGGAAGCACCATCTGGAGAAAGCTGGCCCGTGCTCTTTGGAAAAACACCCCACCTGCAGTGCTCCCAAGCACTCAGAACCCTTGTCTCAGCCACAGGGTGCGGGAGCTCTGCAGGCTTTACCTCTGACTTCTCAAATCCCTCCAGAAGGCAAACTGTCACTGTCTGTCCCTCCCTCCGCCCCCAGGAATCACAGGGACACCCTCATGATTCTGACTTTGGCTACAAAGGAGACTAGAAGATCTGGGTGAGCACCGTGTTCCATGTGGACCCAACTCCACTAAAGAACCTCTCCAGGGCGGCCAGCCACCGTGCTGCCAGGCTTGAGGGAAGGGCGTTGGGGAAAAAAAGAAGGCCGTAGCCAAGACAGCGTCCTGAGCAAGGGGGGACTCACCTCCTTGTGCCCTTGGATCTGGGAGTTCACGAAGGCATGGAGGATGTGGGAGGTGAGGGGCAGGTAGACGTGGATGAGCTGCGTCTCCTGGTGCAGGCAGTACAGGGAGAAGTAGTTCCGCAGCTCCATGGTCTGAATCGCATTCTCCTGCTGCAAATTCAACAGCCACCTTCGCACCTGGCCCAGCCAGGGACTGGAGGAGCATCAAGGCCTAAACACCAGCATGCTCCCTGAGCCACGGCGGCCCCTCCTCCTTCAGCCTTCACCAGGCATTTGGAAGGTGGCAAGGTAAGAGAGGGCCAGGGAGGGAGCACCGGGCAGGGAGCCATGTCACTCTGGGTACCCGAGGCAGCTCCCAGCTTCCACTGCACCCCCAGCTCTGTTCCAGATGCATGGGGCCAACCCAGGAGAGCCCACTGGGACAGCTCCGGGGCCCACCAAGGCTGGGAGGGGAAAGGCTCCCACAGGCCTGCCTGGCCATCCCAGCCACCCACCTCTACAATGCGGGACTCCAGCTGCTCCACGGACTCCGGCTCACGGTTCTGCACGGCGGCGCTCATCATCTGCCTCTTCATCAGGCTGTATTTGTGCAAGGCCCGCTGGTGCTTGTGCAGCACACCCTTCTCATGCCGTTCACACAGGTCCTGCAGGGTCAGGGGAGGCATTCGGCCTTGGCTCCCGAAGCCCGCACCAGGGCCCTGCAGAGCCAGCCGAGGGCAGCACACCCGAGAGACAGAAGGTCCCATCTCCCTCTGTAGCCCTGGCTTCTCAGCTCCTCCCATCCACCAAGTTACACCCTTGAAAGATCCTAAGATCATTCCCGAAAGCTCTGCCCCTAACCAAGGAGCAGCCAAGACTCACCTTATACGACTGCAGCAGATCCAAGAAGAGGTTCAGCTTCTCCACCACGTCATTCTCCTCCTGCTTACCCTAGAAGGTGAGGGGGAGAGGGAGCTTACCCATGAGGACACACACAGGACTGCGAACCCTGCCCAGGAACTCAGACCCAAGCCTGGCCTGGGCCGGTTCCTTCCTCCCAGAGTCAGAGGGGCTCCCCAGGACCACCAGCCAGGTCTGCAGGGGGCTCCCTTCCCCACCGGCCCACCCAAGACCGGGCAGAGATACCTCTGAGCCCAGCAGTCTTGATGGGCACAAGGCCTGCGATCCAGCAGGACAGCTGCCCGGCCTCCTGCTGATCAGCCCGTCCAGCCTTCCTCTGGGCTTCAAAGAGCCGGTGTCTCCACCGACACACATGCTGGGAGAGCCAGGCACCCCAGACCCCCCAGTCCCTGGCGGCTCCATCAAGCACTGCAGAAAACCTGAGCTCCCCCATCTGACGCTATGAGCTGTGTTGAAAACAGGCACGCCCGGGAGGGATACGGAGGAGAATGAGGGCATCATCTCCACATCAGTAAAAGAGAGAGAAATGCAGGCCTAGGAAGGGGTGCAGGGCAGGAGGGACAGCAGCTGCAGGAAGGATGTGCTGTGAAGCCACGACGGCGGGGCCAGCAGAGGCGTTTGGTGCTTGGGCTGAGGAGCCAGGAAGGGAGGCGGCCGCCTGGGGTTGCACACATAAGCGTCACACTGGATGGCAGGGACGGCAGTGGGCGCAGGCTCCTCTCTGGCCTCACACATGGTTTTGTGCGGGCAGCACAGCCACAGACATAGCCCAACAGGGCAGTGAACGCACAGCAAATGACAGGCAGCCCTGTAGTGGAACAGGGGCCCCATCATGGCAGAGGGATGACCAGCTCCTAGAGTCACACAGCACCTGGGGACACGGGGCAGCCCCCACGGGCCAAACCCCACGCAGAGACTGCCTTGGCTGCTCTGCTCACACCGGTAGCAGCTCACGCTGGGGGCACAGCCAGGCCATGGCACACACAGCCTGATCCCATGGTCAGAGGCACCTGCAGTATGAAGGATCAGCCCAAAGCCCTGGGCCCTGGCTGCCACTGAGGGGAGCATCCGAGCTCTGGAGACAGCAGGGGGCCGGGGATGGCAGCGGAAGGGGCAGCTCGTCCACCCCTGACCTGCGCAGCTCACCACAGACCCCCCAGCCACAACGGCAATGAAGCCAGCCCGACGGCAGGGATCCTGGGGAAACCCCTGACACTGACGCCTTCAGTCACACCCCGGCCCTGAACGGCTCCGGCACAGCTCACTGAGCACCTCAGGGACACGAGGCTCCCTCCACAATCCCTCAGGTTCCACCCGCAGCAGGGGGTGAAAAGCTCACAACACGAACCGCACGTAAAGCCTAGCAAGAGACAGCACAGACAGAAGTGACTGGAAGGAGTTTTCTGGGACACAGCGCTGGAATGGGAGCCGGGGATGCTGCCCAGGCTCTGCTGCACCCCAGGCCACCCTAAGATGCCCTTTCCACCCTCCAGACTTCAGGCCAACTGAACAAGGAGGCTCCCCGGCCACCAAGCCCACACCCACAGCAGCTGGGATTCAAGCCAGTAAAATGTGCCAGAAGAGATGTGCTAAGAATTTCTAACACTCTAGAGGGAAAATGCCAGCTGACTGCAGGTGCCCAGCTCCCACCTGACCAGGCAGGGGCTCAGGAAAATGGAGGCTTATTCCCTGACCCAGCAGAAGAGGAGGAGCTCAGGGGTCCCCCTGCTCGTGTCATTTGCCACCAAGTCCTGTCTGTGGTTCAGTGTTGCACAAAACCCTAAACCAGGGGTGTCTAACGTTTTGGCTTTCCTGGGCCACACTGGAAGAATTGTCTTGGGCCACACATAAAATACACTAACATGAATGATAGCTGATGAGCTTAAAAAACAAAGAAAAAAAGAAAAAAGGTCTGTGCATAAATCTCATAATGTTTTTAGAAAGTTTACAGGTTTGGCCGGGCGCGGTGGCTTAAGCCTGTAATCCCAGCACTTTGGGAGGCCGAGGCGGGTGGATCACGAGGTCAAGAGATCGAGACCATCCTGGTCAACACGGTGAAACCCCGTCTC